ACCTATATCAGATGTGATAGACACTTTACAATCTAAGTAAAACAATACACAATGAATATACTGAAAATATTCGGTTTGAAATTTAAAAACATCATTTCTAATCGTGGTCTTAGGAAAACCTTGAAAAGAAGGATTACAAGTTTCTTGTATATAATGCACAAAAATAAATAGGACGCGGGACAAGCGGGACGGGACAAACGGGACGAAATGGCTATCCCGTCCCATCCCGTGTCCCATTTAACATGGGCCCATCCCGTTTAGAATTAAGTGGGACGAGACGGGACGGGACGGGACGGCCCGTCCCGTTGGACAGCCTTAGGTAGGGGTGTACAAATAAAATCGACAAATTGTACTAAATCGATAATTCAAATCAAACCGAGAAAAAAAAAATTGACTAGTTGTTTAGTTTGATTTGGTTTGGTATTGAATAAAAAATTGACCATAATTGTTTGATTTGGTGTTAACTAAAAAAAGTCAAATCGAAATCAAATCAACCCAACATTTTATATATATATATATGTTAAAATTTTGTATACATAAAATATTTATTAGAATGTAGTTTATAAATATTTATTAAACTTTTAATATTTTTTTTATTTTAACATAATATTTCAAGTTTACTCTTACAATATTTGAATGGTCCAATAGATTTTAGAGAAGCTACCACTTATGTCAGCCCATAAGTAAATTAGTACAAAAATTAGCCGGTTCACAAAATATTATCATTATTAGACAAATGCTATAAACATTAGCCAATTAGCTATTTGTAGCCAAAACAATATCAAATTTTTGCTTCCTTTTGAGTGAATATTGTTGGGATAGATTGGATACATCTTAAGGAGTTTGAATCATAGTTTTGGGATGCTTTGGTGAGATTTTGAGGTAGTTTGAATTGAAAAGTCGAAGTAGAAGATAAACAGAAAAAGATGATATGTGTATCACACTGTGTATCATTTGTGTATCACATATGTATCATTATTGTATGAAGTGTCTATCACATGTATATACACATATACCGGTGTGTGAGATACATGCGTGATACATGTTTGATACATGTGTCGCATACAAATTTTTTAAACTCGATTTTAACAACAAATTTTGATACCAAATCAGTCTAAATCACCTCCAATTAATCTTCCTCAAATTCCGTATGTTGACTCATCTATATATTTTCAATGAATTTCAACCATACCCATTGAAAAAGTCTCTTTTTGCTTAGGCTTTTAGAATCTTGTATATTTTTTTCCTTTTTATTTCATCACCTTGTTTGCAACCTCATCCATAAAATTTTCTTTCTGTCTTGCATCTAATGTTATTGACACACTTGAAAATATGAGAAAAGATTTTTGCATGTAATTTTTGGAGAGAAAAAAATTTCTTATTCATCTAGGTTCTCAATTTTTTATGCTTGGCTAATTTTAGTTAGTCTATGATTAATAGCTCTGGTCGGTAAGTTTGGACTTATTTTGAATATTTTCGTAAGTTTCTCAATTTTATAAGGGATTTTTACCTAGCTATATTATATAAGAAATATATTTACCTACTCTATGTTTTGCAGTTTTTAATAAGTATCTAGATTTTTCTTACAAATTGTATACATTTCTTTTTAAAAGGCTCCCACCCCATTATTAGTGCCTTCAATTAAGTAATTTAATTACAATAAAATTTTTAGAAAGAAAGTAATCAAGATTCAAAATTTACCCACAACTTGATTCTAGAGTAATATTTCGAATTTCATCTGCATTGTATCAATAAGAAATAAAGATTTTGGGTGATTAGTAAAAAAGAGAAATTGAATTTGAAAAGCTTTGGAAGAGTAAAAGAATCTGCAATTTTGGGGGGGGGGGGTAACAGTGGGTAAGCGAGATTTTGGGTAAGCAAGATTTTGGATAACAGTGGGTAAGCACAATTTCTTACTGTGGGTAAGAACAATTTTGGGTAATTGTTAAGAAAGAGAGAAGATATTTTTTTAATCCTTTGAAAAAGGAAAGAATCTTAAATATAGGGGGGATTATTAGATATGGGGGTTGGATATCATGTAACTGATGGGCTAGATTTAAGGGATCTTGAATTTCTTCTTTTTCATGGTTTTGTATATAAAGTAAATATAAATATACAAAGTAGTTAATAAGGAACCTAAATAAATGTGATAAATAGGTTTTTATTAT